TGCCCAGCCTATAAAGAATAAGGATTAATAAGCAATTGTTTTGTCCATTGTGCTCTGAGGTATAAATACAGTCCTTTAGCACTTCCGGTCTAGACCACATCAAAACGATTTTAGCACTTATTAAAATGTCAGTCATATTCTTAGCATTTAATATATGTTAACATTTAATATTATGTAGCTATCCCTCTTAGTGCTCTCACTATGCAGATAACAAAAGTGAAGCCAGGCAAATGATAAGGGATTCAGATGTAGACAATCCCCCCCTCCTAGGATCAAGACCAGACCCTGTGCTCCTTGCTAGCCCAGCACCATCTGTCTCATCTCTCATCCTCTCAGGCTTTCTCCGCTCTCTGACTTTTCAAGGCCTGAGCATGATGCTTCCTAACACAGGGCCTTTGCTTGTACTGTTACCTGTGCCCGGAAAATTCCCTCCAATTTTTGCCTGCATACCACCCATCTTTTAGAACCATGAATCCCAGTCATAGAAAAATCTTTCCTGCCCTCCCTGGCCACAGCAAGCAAGTGAAGCCCATCATGGGTGACAGAGGTCCTCTCAAATATTTGTTGAATGAATAAATGAATGCATAGTGTTTGATGGTCTTCTTTAGAGCCCAGTGATATGGGGCAGAGAGGAAAGAGTGTAGGAGGTCAAAGGTGATCCCAGAAACCTTCCTGGATTGATATAGACAGAGAGGCTTGGGGACACATGCCAGGAAATTCCAGCCATCCACCTGTCTCTTATGGTGATCACATAAACTGATGCGACGTTGGCATCTGACCGGACTTTGGTGGCTACTTGGCATTTCAGAAGATCACCAAACAGGAGCCCAGAGACCATGTGGTTCAGTACCCATAAGTAACTTATGGAAAAGGAAACTGAGGTCCAGAAAGGGAAAACCACATTGCTCACATCACATACAAAATAGGGGCAGGATATGGTCCGGGTCTCCCGAGTCCGGCACTGACGGGACTTGTGTCAAGGAGAAGATGCATCAGGACTTGTTCAGGCTCCGGCCCTCAGTGACCCAGGGAAGGGGCTGGACAGTGCCAGTGTGGGAGGGGGGAAGGAGGGCTGCATTCATTCAGGGGATCCGTAGGTACCTTTTCTCATGTCTAAACATTTCTTTCCGCAGCTGAACATGCAACACTTCATATTATTTGGGCACTGCCTGTGCCTCGTACATAGGTTTCTTTCTTCGATTTCACATTTTACTCTGACTTTGGGACACGACTCTGGAGAGGAGAAGATATGCTTCCTTGAGGCCTGGAAGTGGGTGTCTCTCCCCCTTCCCAGGCGCAGGGCACCTCTGCAGAGTTGGGGAAGCTTGATTCCCTTCTCTCAGGGGGCTCAGGATTCTCACAACACTAGCCACATCCCCCACCCCGTGACTCATCACCTAATCCCTAAGCCCACTCCCAACCCTTCTCCCACCACCTGTATAAGGTTCCTGGGAGGAGAACATGCTCCTCTAGGAGGTTCCCCTAGGGGGCGCTGTAGCTCCTGCTAATTGAGATCTGCATTTGAGCATCTGGTGGCTGAGCTTCAAAATTCTGTACAGCCTTTCCTATGGCAGGCACCCTCTCTGAACCTTCCTTTCCTCATTTGCCCAGAGGGTCATTCCAAAGACGGATGCAACAAAGTTTGAAAAGCCATCATCCAGCTGCCTGGGACCATATAATAATGTATTGATGAAGTACTTACTATGCACCTGAACTTTTCTCTTTAATCCTCATTCCAAATACCTCGGTAAGTACTGTTAATATTCACATCTAATAAGCAGGAATCTGAAGTATAGGGAGGCTATATAAACTCATCCAGGGTCACACGACTATTAAAGATGCAGGCAGGATTGGAACCTGTAGCATGTGGCTCCTGAGAACTCACTGCCAACCGCAGCTTTTCCAGTGCTCAGTGTATTTAGCTACTGATCCTGGAATCTTTGTATTTCAATATTGCAAGGGACTTTGGGAGATAATTCTTTACCACAAAGGCAAGGATCCTTTGTGGGTGTGGGTGGGGGAATGGGGAAACTTATTTGGGGCTTCAGTGGAGAAATTTGGAAGTCAGTGCAGTGCTGCTAGGGAGTATGGTGTCCTCAAGGGAAAGTCCCTCTGGCTATCTAGTTCCTCAAGTACACTTTATGGGAGGGGGTCCAGGAACCTACAGGAAGAACCCCTCGGGATGCAGTGGGGGTGGGGGTAGGGAGCTGCTACAGTCGGGTTCCCCCCTAGGAAGGGGGCTGAAATAAAGACTCCAAATACTGCCCCTCTGTCCTGCCCAGGGTCCAGGCTGAAGTGGGGAAAGCATTCCTCTGTGATGCTCTTCTTTGTCTTTTGTCCCCTTCAAATTCTCTCTGTACGTTAGAGGGACTGTGTCCCCAATACTTACTGAAAAATAACCCCTCAACCAGCCCAGGTTCCTGGACACCCCCCAGGAGGATGAACGGTACCAGGAATAGTAGAAGTCCCAAGAGTCCCATTTCAGGAAGTGCTGGCCGATGTCACCCAACTAGGAACGCTGCTCTCTTTACTGCCTCTGAGCGTTGGCGGCCCAGCTCAGCCCAACAGTCCAAGAAACAAGCCTGGAGGCCAGCCAGCCATACTCCCTCCCCCAGGCCTCCGATCCCAGGCTCTCTCCACCAGGGGGAGGGGTCACTCCCCCTGGACATTCCAGATGCCCCCAGCAGAAGGCGTGGACAGCTCCAGAACCTTCCTTATCTCAGGGGCAATGTGGAGGCTGAGGGTATTCTCATCTTTCTGATTTTGCTCTTCTCCCGGTACTTCTATTAGTGCTTTATTTTTCTCACGGTTTCTCTTTTTCTTCTCTGTGTCCCTTTGTGATTTTCTTCTTGCTCCTGTCCCCCCCATCCCTTTTCAACGACTCTTTTTCACTGTCCGGGTCACTTCTCTTCTTTCTCCCTCTCTGTTTTCTTGGGTTCATTTTTTCTTTTCTTTGCAGTCCTGGGGGAGTAAACCCAGGGGTGCTTAACCACTGAGCTACATCCCCAGCCCTTGTCATTTTTATTTTGAGGGAGGATCTTGCTTAATTGCCCAAGTTGACCTAGAACCTGGGATCCTCCTGCCTCAGCCTCCCCACCCCCTTACACACCTGCCGTCTCCCACGTTGCTGGGATTACCGGTGTCTGCAGCTGTGCCCGCTTCCCCTTTGCTTCAGCTGTTGTCAAGGAGCAGAGATATCGCTGTGAGTCAGTGTGGGGAGGAAAGATGAATTCCAAGTTGAACTGAGTCCACAGAGAAAGTCTGTCCAGGTCACGCGATTTTGAAAGCAGAAAAGAAGACCAGAGCTCCCAGAGACCTTCTAATGTCAGATGCAAATTAGAGTAAGAGATTCAAGAAAACCGTGCACTGTACCTTCAGAAAACCAGTGCAACAGGAGGGCCTGAAGAATGTCCCACTGCTAGTTCCTGAACTGTCCCATTGACCTAAGTCTTGAAGCATCAGAAGAGAGCATGAGCAGGCACTGCAGAGGGGAAGGCCTTGCTCCATCCCAGCACGCTCTGGGCTGACCTTCAGTCTCACCTGCAGCTTCAGAGACAGTCGGTCCCAGAGAACATTTTGTCTTAATCTGTTTTTTAAATCGAGGTAGAATTCACATCATGTAAAATCGACCACGTCAAGGGGAAGAATCCAGTGGCTTTTTTTTTTAGCACATTCACAAAGTTGTGTGACCACTCTCTCCATTAATCCCAAAACATTTTTGTCACTTTAAATTAAAACCCTGGACCTGTGAGCAGTCATGCTGAGAGCCATTGCCAAGTAGGAATGACGCAGGGCAATTTCCTTGTCAGCCTACCCCATGTTGCTTAGAGGGAGGACTCTCCATTGTGGAAATGCGCTTGCCTTGGACCCAGGCCATTTGCAGTGACATTGCATGAATGTTTGAGAAAGGTGACCCTGCTCAAGGACCAGGGTGGATCCCGGTTTAGGGTGGATCCTGCTGGGAATAGGGCGTATCCTGCTGTCTCAGGTGCCCCACTCCTGGAGTTCCCGTGGAGTTCTCGCGGGGTTCTGAGAGTATTTGGTACACAGAGCGCGGTGGAGGGTGAATTTTCCCAGAACGTGCGTGTAGAGTGCTGGTGAGAGTTCGGGAATAAAGAATTGCTGTTTGAATCTACAAGGCGGTGTGGTGGCCTGGTTATTTTATGCCCAGCCAGACTGCGGCACAGTCACTCCTTAGTTATCCCCCCTCCCTGCCTACTCCAACCCCTGGCAGCTCTTCCTATGTCTATAGATTAACCTATTCTGGATACTCTACATAAATGGACTCAACTGTCATTCTGGGCTTCTGTCCCACAGCGTAAGGTTTTCGAGGTTCATCCATGGGGTAGTGTGTATTGGTGTGGTGTTCCTGCTTGTGGCAAATAACACCCGGGGCACACCGAGCCACCCATTTCAAAATGTCAGAGTTCCTACTTCTCTCCTCAGGTTTTGCTGCATATGGAACTACCGGGTAGAGTGAGGGAACTGATGCTCCAGGAATCCAGTGGGAATCCGTGGATCAGCACCTCAGCTTCCCCAGCACTAGCGACAGATGAAACTTTGGAGGTATGTTCTGTGTGGTTCACAGGATTCCTGGGAAGGCATCTGGCAGGATTGAGTTACCGTTTCCCTCAGTGGCAACCAACTCATGATCGACTCCTCTCCTTCCCAACTTGTGCTTGGGACATCTCCTAGATCAGATAAGTGCACCCCGCCCATGTCCCAAGGTCAGTTTCTGGGGCATTCAAGTTAAGGCAATGTCCCTGGACCCTTGCCTTATGAGTTTTATTATTATTATTATTATTATTATTATTTTTTTTAAGAAATGGAGGAGGATAACAATATCCCTGGAGCTCTCAACTCTCAAGGTTCTCATTGTCCCCACTTGCTCAGATGGGGTCACTGGAAGCTTCAACAATCTCTTGTTGTCTGCAAAGTGTAATATACCAGACAGATGTGAATCACTCCACCTCAGAGGCACAGGATGAAACCAAGCACTTTATTGAAAACAAATTGGGAGCTGCATAGGAGCAAACAGGGATTTCTGGAAGTTAGAGATGATGGGGTGAGGCAGAGAGATGGAATCCACGAGGAAGGAATTATGCATAAAAAGAGGTGGCCACAGAGGAAGAGGGAGGAGGCAGATCCTGGGGTTCACAGTTGGGAAGCTCTAAGGCCTTGCCGCCCTGAGCAGAGCGGAACAGTTGGGGGGCTGAGCTGAGCTGAGCGGGGAACAGTGGGGGTCAACCTAGAGCATCTCAGGTGCACAGAGCCTGGAGCTGGAGCCAAATCCTGGCGGTTGTCCCCATGTATCTTTATCCGTTCAGGAATCCAAGCCTGTTGAGGACATAGGTATAAAACGTAGCTGGCTTTGAACTTGAGGTTGTGTTTAACACCTTTCTACAGGAGGAGATCCACACTGGGCTTGCACTGGGAGCTGCTGTCAGTTTCTTTCAAGGAACAATGAATGAGATTGGATTGAGGCAAAGACCTCTGATGAGAAAACCCATGGCAGGGAAGGACGGGCTGGTCAGCGTGACCGGTGCCAGGTGGGTGCTCTGTGGCCTTTCTAGTTGGTTTCTGAAATTGCACCACCTCTGTCCTTCCTTCAGGCTGCCTGAATCCCCTGGCATTTGCTGGCTTTGATTGGCCTCCGTGTCCCTCCCCACCCTCGGTTCCCAGGAAGCCCCAACTCCCCTCTGCAAGGTGCAGTCTTCTCTCCTGGTTGGAGCGGGTTCTGTGGGCACTGGTCTGCCAAGGACACAGCTCCCTTGGAATGGATCAACCAACACCCGGACCTCCCGGCAGGGCTCCGGTGACAAGGGGAAACGGGGCCCCAGGACTCACGTTTTTTGTTGGCAGGCATTTTGGCAGATGCTCTTGGTCTGGAAGTTGTTGTTGTTTCCCTGGCAGCCGCCATACACGAAGCCATAGCAGGTGTTATTGTTCTTACTGTACCACCAACGACGGAACAGAGCCATGCAGGGCCCGCTTTCTTTTGGCAGAGTGCAGATGTCTGCAGAGAGACCTCAGAGTTGAGAACTCAGCAGTGCTCAGCTTGGAACGAAACAGCTGCCATGTTCTCCTTCGCAACCACCCTGAATGACACTGGAACTGCTCCTTTTCCCTAACCCACTGTGGGAGCCGGCTCTGTGGACATATTACATGCATTTGCAAAGAGATCCCAGAACAGGTGCCCGAGTCCCCGGAGACAGGATTGTTGCAGACATAATTAGTTAAGATGATGTCATATTGGAGTAGGGTGGACCCTACTCCATATGATTGGCATCCTTATAAAAAGGGGTAGATCTGGACACAGGCACGTGCACAGGAAAAAGACCACTGGAACATGAAGCAGAGATCAGAGTGATGTGTCTACAAACCAAGGAACACCAACGATGGCCAGAAAAATAGAGGCATGGAGCAGAATTCTTCCCCACAATCCTGCTGATACTTGGCTTTGGCCTTCAAACCGGCAGAACTGTAAGGCAGTACTGTTGGTTAGGCCATGCACCCATGCTACCCTTGTTTTAACAACCCTAGCCAAGAATACAGGTCCCAACCAAACTATGAATTCAATGAAGGCAAATCTTCACAGCTGAGCCATTAAGTCTTGTTTGTTTCTACCACCTAATAGCTCACTTCTCACCAGTTCCTTGAACTTAAGCCCCAGAATCTCACACCGGGGCTATTGAGCTATCCTCCAGTGGAGGCTATCCCTGCCCCCAGTCTTGGCTCCTCCAAGCAATCTTTCATGCCAGGGAGAAGGAACTGATGGATCTGAAGTCCAAGCCAAGGTAAGACCTACCTTGACTTCATGACAAATTCTTCCCGTCACCCACAAGGCCCTTCATCCTCTGGCTCCCACTCCTGGCTCAGGCCTCTCCCCCTGCCTCAGGCCCCCTTGATCTACATGCTTCAGCCTCACTCAGCATACTAGGGTCCCTCCTGACTCCACTCTGTATCCCAGGTGCCTGCACCCAGTCGGCATCTCTTCACCTTGTTTCTGAATCTTGTGTGTACACCTATCATCTGTTCGTATCTTCAGGCTCATTCCTGACACAGTAAGTTTCTGGGCTGAACAGGGATTGAGTCTGATTGCATCTTGGAATTCCAGTGACTAGCAGGTGGCCTGGCACAGTTTAGAACTTTATGGAATGTTGGGGGTGGAACCAAATGCCTCCTGCCCTGAACTGTGTCCTTGGGCACTTTAGCCCTGTGTGCTAACACTTTAAGGGACAACGACAAGGCACAGTCCCTATGGCATAGGGGTTCCCAGTCAAGAAAGACAAGTGAGTTAAGTCAGTAGGTGTTGGGTGGCTGCCATGTGCCTCCATGTTCCTGTGGCCTTCTTCCTGTGTGTGTGCCTATGTTCAGATCGACCCTTTTTATAAGGATGCCAATCATTGCTCTAAGCATTTCGGGAGCATCCATTTATTTGATCCTCAAAGTAATCTTTGTTATCTGAAGAAATTGAGACAGAATAAAAGGGAAATTTGTTGATTTGCTCCGGATAAAAAATCTGGTCCAACCTAGGGCTCAGAGAGTAACTCCGAAGCTCTCACCTGCAGGCGTCTGGGCAGCGCGTCGTGCGTGCGTGCGGCCCATGTGCCTCCCAGAGTCTTCCCAGCACATCTCTACACCGAGCTTCTCCTAGTTCAAGTCACCCTTTTCTCTCCTCCGAGTCCCTTTGGCACACCCCACTCCTCTGCTTTCCCTATCCCACTCTGCAGGCACCCCACAAACCTGGGATGTCACTGTCCTTACTCAGGGCGTTTCCATGGCTCTTAGGATCAGGATGAGACTATAATCTGGCCCCCAGACCTGAATTGCCGGATCTTTTCACACCTCGGATCTTTTCTCTGTGAGCCGTGATCTTGTGCATTTCCTGCTTTCTGAGTCTCTGTGTGTGCCATTCCCTGTACCTGGAAAACCCTCCCACCCTCATTACCCTTCATTTGGATCTCAACTCCAGGCTTGCTGTCCAGAGAAGCCCCTCCTATCCTCCCTGACCACCATGAGCAGGTCAGATCCTATTATGGGTGCTGTGGTTTGAACATGGTTTAAATGTGTGCCCCCGGGGTCCATTTGTTGGTGTCTTGTTCCCCAAGATAGTGGTATCAGGAGGTGGTGATACCCTTAAGAGGTGAGACCTAGTGGTAGGTCCTTGGTCAATTGAGGATGTGACCTTGAAGGGACTGTGGGAGCTCAGTCTTTATTTGGGCCTCTGTTGGTGATGTGATCTCTCTCTCTCTCTTAGGTGCCCCCCACCTGCCATGGGGTTTTTGTTAGAGCCCATGCCATGATGTTTGGACTCAGCCTCCAAGACTGTGAGCTAAATAGACCTCTTTTATTTATAAAGTCAGCCTGCCTCAGGCATTTCATTAGAGTGATTTGAAAATGGACTAAAATGGAATACCTCTTAGAGGCACTCAGTAAATATTAGCTAAATGAATGACTAAAGAATCCTCCATAGTCTTTTTTGGAGCCCAGGGAGATGGAAAGGAAACCCCCTCTGGTCTGGAGAAGTCAGGGGAGGTTTCCTGGTGCAAAGTTGGATTTATATAGGCCAAGAGGTAGTCGTTCAGAAGCAAAAACAGGGAAGAAAATTGCTTAATTCAGCCAGGGATGGTGACGCACTCCTGTAATCCCAGCAACTGAGGAGGCTGAGGTGGGAGGATCGCAAGTTTGAGGTCAACCTGTGCAATTTAGCAAGACCGTGTCTCAGAAAAGGAATGGGGGAGCTGGGAACGTATTTCAGTGGTGGAGTGCCCCTAGCTTCAATGCTCAATACTGGAGGAGGGGGAAGGGGGAGAAAGAAAATTCTTGTCACTTGCAACAACAAAGAGCATCGGTATATATTAGGACAACAAGGACCATCTGAGGACTCAGAAAATCATAAGGGTGAAAAGTGGCCAAGAAGCTGGCTGATTGAGTCTCACTGCTATACCCATCATTTGTCTGGGGAAACTGAGGCCCAGACATTACCTGACAGGATCAGGACATTATTCATGTTGTACAACATGTTAGGAGCAGTAATAAATCTAAATCCCAGTCCTCCCACATCCAGCAGTCCTGCCTGGAGACCAGCCCTCCGTGAACCAGGGACAACCCAGCCCAGGTGGCAGGGGGCGAGGGCGTGGGTGGAGTGTTCCCGGCTCTGAAGGTACCTTGTTGGAGGTCAATGCACTTTTTCCCGCAGTTGAAGACGCAGCACTTCTGGTTGTGCGGGCACTGCCTGTCTTTGGTACACAGGTCCCTCTCTCTGAATTCACATTGCTCTCTGATTCTGGGACATTTTTCTGGGGGAGGAGCAAGTGTGAGCCTTGGAGGGTCACTGCCCACCCTCTTCCAACCCCGTTCTGGGCAGACTGGAAGTTTGCTCTCATTCTGTCACCAGGAGTCTTCCTCAAGGGGCCCCTGGGTATCTCCCAGCCCCACCGACACAGTCCCTCTGTTGACTACTCCTCATCTCTACCTTCCCACCCTGGTCCTTCATCCCACTTCCTGCCCCAGTCCCTCTAAGGCAGAATTTCTCAGCCACTGGTGACATTTGGGCTGGGGAGTTCTTGTTGGGAGTGGGGTCGTCCTCCTCAGGTGACATTTAGCAGTATCCCTGGCTTCAATTTATTAGATGTGGGTGGCACCCCTCCCTGTTGTGACAACCCAATGTCTTCAGACATTGCAAATGCCCCGGGGTGGGGGGGTGCAAATTGCCAACGACGGGCACAGGTTTAAGCTGGTCTGGTCTTTTGTGCCTTGCTGCGAGCCGGGGTGTGCGAGTTCCTCTGGGGGGCGACATCACACAGTGATTGGTGGCCCTCTGGAGTCAGTGTGGCTTTGAATTCTAACCCTGTTCTGTCACTTTCCCTGAAGCTACTCTCTTCCTTTGTAACGTCTTTTGGCCTTAGGGAGTTGTGAGGAAGAAGTGAGACCAGTGTGAAGCTCCAATCTGAGTGACATTTGCCATAAGCCACACACTCATTTAAGTATTTAAAACGTATCACCTCATTTAACCTCCATAGCAGCTCTATGAGGTCAGTTCCGTGATTAGTCCCATTTCACAGATCAGGAAACTGGAGCACATGGAATCTATATAGAGGTTATATGGCTGTCAGGATTTAACCCCTCTGTATGACTCCAGAATGCTTTTTTTTTTAAAATTTCTACTCAGAAATCTCTATTTTCTGATTGTTCAGAAAATGCTAACAATTATTATTTTTACTTATATACTCATGGAGTATTAGTGTCTTACATTGAAAGGGGCTCCCAGATATTCTTCTTACTCCAAAGTCAAAACCCTTTGGGGATGCAAAGACACTTCATAGGACTGCATTGGAAAAAAACGGGAGAAGATTGAGGTGATACCCTGAGAAAAGGATCTAATTTTCTTGGGGGGTGGGAAAAGGACCCTTAGTCTGCCCAGCTTTCTATAACCCCTCACATAATTGCCAGATCCATTAATGCCCCCCCCCCGCCGCTGCCCCAAACTGCCCAGGTCTGGGATCCTGCCCTCACAGAAGAGACTCCTCTCCCTCCTCTCCCAGCCCAGGGCCACGGCTAAGATGGAGGAAGCAACCCAGATCTTCAGGACTGTTCCTGGTCCCCCCCTCCCAGCAAACTCCCCTCTGCCCAGGGCAAGACTGAGGCCCAATACTTACTGGGAAAGAACCGGTCACTTAGACCAGGTCCCTGGACATTCACGAAGAGGATGAAGAGCACCAGGACTCTCAGAAGTCCACAAGGCTCCATTCTGAGGAGAGATGGTTCCAGAACATGGAAATGCTGGCTGTTTAGCCAGCCTGTTCCTTCAGGGCCTCTACCTTGGAGACCAGAGCTGGAGAAAAGCCAGCCACCCCCTTTCTTGTCAGGAACACCGAGTTCCCAAGGCCATGAAATGGGGCTGACTGGCATGGACAGCCCAGAGCTCGGGGGAAGGGTCTCCTGTGATCCTTAAGCCCTGGCTGCGCTGGGCTGGGCCCTCCGCTCCAGCAGGGCGAGTGGGCAGAGCTTGGCTCACACTTTCCAGGCTACCTTAGGAGTGAATGCCACTTCCCAGGTCTTATCTTGGAAACTCTGGGAGTGTGCCTGGCCTCTTTCTGTTCCACACACACACACACTAGCCACTGGCCCCTTCCGCTTCCCGCTGACAATGTCTCCTTTCATCTCTTGCTATCTGTCTCTTTGTGCCTCTCTGTTCCTAGCTTTTTCTCTTCTTTTCTGAGGGCCCCCCAGGGCCTGGGTGTCCGGTTCTCTCTCCCGCTGCATCTTCCCACCATCCTCCCTCTTCTCTTGTCTTTGGGTCATTCATGTTTGACTAAAGCCAAAGAGTAAAGATGTTGCCCCAGAGCGGGGTGTTGGCAAGGCTCAGGCTGATAACAGTCCCCAGATGGTGCTGGTCACAGCGCGTTGCTTGGAGAGCAGGGGCTTGTTGGGAGTCTCTGTCACATCTGATGCAAACTCTTTTCGTTGGAGGAGAAGCTACAAAACGAACAGAACTTCCTGAGAGACTGTGGTTCAGTGACTCAGCAGAGTTGCTGCCTGCGCACTGAGCGACTGGACGGAGGCTGCTGGGGAGCTGGAGCTACACACCCACAGCCATTTAGCCAGGCTGCTGGCGGGGAGAGAGGCTCTCTTCAGAGAGTGAGTTACCTGTAGGTTCCCATTTTCTTTCCTGACTAGGAGTTGCCTTATTGTGCCAACCCTTGTTCTCAAAACTCTCTTATGTGACAGAGAAAAGTCAGAAAAAGCCAGCCTCATCATCAGTGAGTAACTATTATGGTCACAAAATCTAGGAGATCACAGCAAAGGTCCCATGGGAATCCCATCCCACCAACTCTGCAGGCTCACTGAAGGAGGCTAGGGAATGCGGTTTCTAGTGAGCCATCAAGATGTCCTAGGCGGGGCTGCCCTCCTTCTGCTTCTACCAAGCTCAGCCCAGGGGAGAGGAACACATGGAGTACCTAGGTGGCAGGGCTCCGAGGGACCACCTGGTGCCACTGCTTTGTCTTACAGTTTGGAATCACAAGGGCCAGAGAAATGAGGGTGCTGCTGAGTGTCATCCGCACATGAGTGTCAGAGACGCGGACAGAGGGAGCCGAGCATGGGCGTCCTTGCCAGAGGCCATCGGGGAATCTCTGATGAAGTGTGGATATGATATTTGACTGTGGACTTGGAGGTAAAGAATGCTGAGTCCAAGGGAATGAATGAGATCATTAGTAGAGACAGAAGCTGAAGAATCAGCATCAACAGATCTCCCAGTGGCTCCCAGGGGCCCCAGTCAAGGCTTCTTTCTTCTCTTAATTTTCTTAAAATAAATTAAAACCCTTTCGGGTTTTTCTACCACATTCTGTTTCATCTGATTTCCCAGCCAACCCATGGGTCTCACTTTTTAAACATGAATTGGGTGTCTTTGAGTTTTGGAATGAATCATGGTTTGGGCCCCTGCTAACGTCTACTTTCTTGGAGAAAGCTGGGTAGGGACCCACCTGGGTCCTTGCTCTTCCTTCATCTACCCTCATTGAGGGTCATGGCCCTAACTCTGCCCCGGTCTGACTTCTGCATGATTTCTGACTTCATGAATGTGAGCTCCAGGGAGAGCCAGAGCACCCTGGCCTCCACCTGGCCTCTCCTGCTTTTTCAATGGACCAAGACCTGTCTCCTGGGCTGATTTCCTGTCAGGGTCTTTCGGTGTTGTTCCACGTGCCTCTAGTTGAATCGCCAAGTTGCATGTGTAAGAAGCTCTGAGGTCCATTAAATGGGCCTGTGTCTAGAACCTAGTGCCCAGAATAAATACTCAGTGCATTCTGCGGGATGGGCGAGGTAGGTGGGGGATTGGCAGTGTGTAGAAAGGTAGGCAGACGTGTGTCCACCAACGGAGACAGCCTATCGTGAACAGAGGAGGATACGTTGAGATGGGTGTGTGTGTGGATAGGTGAGTGGGTTGGTAGGTGGACGGAGGAGATCAGTGTAGGAAGGATGGATGTGTGTCCCTCAGGGGACAACATATCACGAGGTTGGTTAGAGGAGTAGGAAGAGGTGAGGAAAGCATGGCTCTCTGGGTGCGTGAATGCAAGGATTGTGGGTGGATGGAAGAATGGGTGAAGTGGGTTGGACTGGATATAGGGTTAGTGATCGGGTGGGTAGGTCTGTTGATGGAAGTTGTTTGATTGGATGGTGGGATAGACAGACAGAGGGAAGATCAGTGTAGTGGGATAAATATGTTGATGTACATGAAGGAGTGTTTGTGTGTGTGTGTGTGTGCATGCTCACACGAGAAAGAAGAGAGAGGTAAATAATAAGCAGATGGATTAAAGGTTGGACATAAAATAGACAACCAGGTTGGTAAAAGTCAGATGAGAAAGAAGGGTAAGAGGATGGATATAGGGGTGATAGATGGTGGGCAAAGGAATACGTTGAAAGCTACGTCAACAGAGGGATGCTAAGTGGGGATGGGTACCTGGATGCACCGAGAAAGGATGGACAGGTGAATAAAAGGACTGAATGGTCGGCAGGTAGATGGGTGGGTGGAAACATTAACCAAATTCAATGATGTGAAAATAATTATATAGAGATTAGGAAAATATGAGACTCAAAGTCACAGATGAGGAGGTAGAGAACCTGCACAAATTGTAAGACGAAGTGTTTAAAAATTGCTACAATAGACCACTGTGGAAGAAACATGGTTAGATGCTTGGGAGTGGAATACTGGCTTCAGTCTTCAAAGAATGGAGAACTTATGTATCATCAAAAATTTTCAGATTTCAGAAAAAGTATGTAAGTTTTCTAACCAAGTTTCTTTTTTTGGTTGTCAGCAACTATAATCTTTAATAAACATCATAGGTCAAGTTGTAAAACTTTTTATTGGTGCATTATAATTACGTGTAATGGTGGTGTTCATTGTGACATTCATACATGCACATAACAGAATTTCATTTTCTAGTACCTCCCCTTTCCCTACCTCCCGATCCCCTTCCTCTAACTCGACTGATTTCCCTTGTATTTTTTAAAACTGGTGCATGATGACTGTGCAGAACAGTGGGATCATCGTGATGTATTTGTACATGCACATACATGGTTTGTTCCTCTTGATGCTCTATTTCCTCCCCGTTCTCTTTGCTCCCTTCCCTTCCTTTATTCTACTGTTTTTGTGAGATCCTTTTTTTTTTTAATTCTTTTCTTCTCTCTAGCTTCTGCATGTGAGAGAAAATATTCAACCCTTGACTTTCTGAGTCTGGCTTTTTTCACTTATCATGAAGTCCCCCAGTCCCATCCATTTGCCAGCAAATGACACCATTTCATTCTTTGTGGCTCTATGAAACTCCGTTGTGTATCCATACCACATTTTCTCAATCCATTCATCTGTTGACGTACACCTAGGCCGGTTCCATAACTTGCTATTGTGAATTTTGCTGCTGTAAACTTTGGTGTGCAGGAATGGCTATATAGGATTCTGATGTTAGTTCTTTTGGATAAATACTAAGGAGTGGGATTGCCGAGTCATGTGGTGTTTCTACTTCTAGTCTTTTTTTTTTTTTTTGAGAGAGAGAGAGAGAGAGAGAGAGAATTTTTTAATATTTATTTTTTAGTTCTCGGCGGACACAACATCTTTGTTTGTATGTGGTGCTGAGGATCGAACCTGGGCCGCACGCATGCCAGGCGAGCGCGTTACCGCTTGAGCCACATCCCCAGCCCCTCTACTTCTAGTCTTTTGAGGAATCTCCATACTGATGTCCACAGTGATTGCACTAATTTGCAATCCTACCAAAAATGTCTAAGTGTACTGTCTCCCTTGCATCCTCACCGGTGTTTTTTTTATTATTTATATTTGTTGCCATTCTAATTAGGATGAGAAGAAATCTCAGTGTAGTTTGGATTTGCATTTTTTCTGCTCACTTGATATATTCTTTGGCAATCTGTATTTCTTCTTTTAAGAAATGTCTGTGTAGTACATTTGCCTGTGCATTGATTGGGCTATTTGTTTTTTGGTGTTGAGTTTTTTATGTTCTGTATATATTCTAGCTATTAATCTTCTGCCCAAAGACTAGCTGTCAAAGATTTCCTCCCACTCTTAGGCCTTTTACTCTTATTCTGAATTGTTTCCTGTGCTGTGCAGAAGCTTTTTCATTTGATGCCATCCCACTTAATGATTCTTGGTTTTATTTATTGAGTTTTAGGAGTCTTATTAAGGAAGTTGATTCCTACACCTATATGTTGGTGTCTGGATTCTACATTTTCTTTTAGTTGCGAAGTTTCTAGCCTAATTCCTAGATCTTTGATCCACTCTGAGTTGATTTTTGCCCATTCAAGTTTTTTGAAAGTACCGTGACCCAAACAGCAACAAACAAACGAACACTTACTTTTATTTTGACCAGAAGTGAAAATTTTAAACAAACTCTTTGCCAAAAAAGCCACAGTAAATGAATGCAAATATATTAGCAATATGATTAAAGTTATTCTAAGAATGCAAGATGGTTCAACATATGACAATTCAATAAGTTGTTATGCTAACAAATTAGAAGAGAACAGTCATTATATGAGCAGATGCTTGAAAGGTATTTGATAAAATTCAGCAGTCGTTTCTAGTAGCAGCTGAAAATGGAGAAGAAAAAAACCTTAAAAAAGGAAATAAGTGCCATAAAACCTATTTATCTTTCACACACACACACACACACACACACACACACACACCACCAGTAGCCACTGACTTTAAAATAAGGAACTGATACTATTGCTTTTATTCTTATTTTTTTGGTGGTGGGATCGATGGCAGGACCTTGCGCATGCTAACTACATGCTCTGCCGTGGAGCTGAACCTCAGGCCCTCACTGCCTTTATTTTCAAGATTATTTTAGAAGTTCTACAATAGAAGACAAGATATCAAAGCCATGAAGTTGGAGAAAAGAAGAGCCAAGTTTATAATTATTTTATGATGATATGATTATATATAAATTTATTATATATGAAAACCCTACATGATAGGATACATATAATAACCCTATAAATACTGTTACCCTTAATAACAGTCTGGTAAGGTAGCTAGTCCAGACCAACAAAAGAGCTCTTCATTATGCTTATTCATAATTACTCTTCCCGTGAGAATATTTCCCACTCACTGTTCATTTCCGGGGTGCCAAGCACATCAGTCCACAGCGTGAACAGCACTTCTCTCCCTCTGGACAATCGCTATCCTGCAGGCACATTGGTTTACTAATCTTGTTACACATCTGAGGCATACGTGGGCAAAAACCTGGTTTGACTTTATGGAGTAAAAACAAGACACTTGACCTTGAAACACTCCATCATAATTAGACACACATTTGGGGAATCTTAGGAAAACCATAAAGGATTTTGTTCTAATCAAGCCTCTTCCCTTCCCACCACTGAGTGGGGGAGGCACTCTCCATGGCTAGTAACTTGAAGAGCATCATCCCAGACTTGTCCAACCTGATAATATTCCTGTATTCCCTATGGAATTAATGGGTTTGGGTGGATCCAGAATATCCTTGTCTTATGAATTATAGGAATTGAGGATCATATAGGGGGAAGTGAGTTGGCCAAATCGCACAGACAGCCTCTGAAAAGTTGAAGTCAGTTGAAAAAGCTTTGCCTCTTGCAACCACACCACGGGTATCTCCAGGCACTACTAGTCCCTGGGTCTACGTGGGGAAATTGGTACCTCCAGCCTTAGGAGTGGGAGAGTTGGCTTCTACCCCCAAAGCATTTGCTAACAGTCTTTCCCCAGATCCTCTTATGGGATGTGAATTATCAGGAATATACTTAGTGGTTAAGAATCTGTATGTATGTGAATCCATGGACATTGTCACTTTGCAAGTCATGGAAGAATGAGATCATAACAAATAAATTTTCTTGGGGAAAAATGGAGAGTGATTACCAAGTGTGGTAATGACTTTGAAGAGTAGCACAATAGTGTCCAGAGGCCAGGAGGTCAACATGGGAGCACTGGTTGGGCATTGAAAGGTGAAATCTCCTCAGATACCTCCAAGGTCAATCCAAGGGGCAGCTGAGGTTCAAGGGACTCCCATTTCATGGGATATCATGGCATCCTTGATCCATGTCCAGTGGACTTTGGGAGGTATATCTTCTCAAAGTCCTTACCATCCCTGGTCCTTACCTTGCCAGAGGTTGGCACAAACAAAACCACACCTGGAGTCACAGCATTTTTCTGTCATAAGGCAATCCATGTCACTCTTACATGGCTTTGGACACTCCATTCGAGAGGTGTAAGGGAAGAGTGGGCACTGTCCTTTCTTGACTAAAACAAGAGCAGATGTGAGTACCTGCAGACCCTACCATCCCACCACCCTTCAAACAGATGTTCTTTCTCTTCTAAACCAGAATCCCTGCAACTTGGTTCACTTTACCCTGTCCACTCTCTCACTGCATTCTGGAATGTGGTAGAAAGAATGCTGAGCTCAGCATCTGAAGCCCCAACATAAAGTCTCAGTCTGGTCACTAAATAAGTGACAGCATCCTTCTGTATAAAATAGGGCTGATGATGTCCGGTTCACACAGATCAAGTTAAGCCCTTTGAAGGGGTTTGGTTTTATTTTGAGTATAAATGGGAAGTATTGTAGTGTTCTCAATAGAGGATGTCATGATGGCTCATGTTTTGAAAGGACTGTCGTGGCCGCTGTGCTGATAGTGATTATAAAAAGAAGGTGAATATCGAGCAGGGAGACCCTGGGGCAGGCTGTTGCAGCACCCCGACTGAGAAGGTGACACCTTGTTAGAGGGGCAGCAGCTCTCAGATTTGGGCTGGAGATGCAGCTTTGTAGTCATTAGGATCTAGATGGTATTTAAATCAATTCTTTAGGATTTTATGTGGGTCTCCTGTTCTCATCTGGTGGCCAAGTCTATGAGGGTAGATTTTTTTTTCCCTTCTGTCTCCGGTCAGACTGACAATAATGCTCAACTCTTAGAGGTACACGTTACCTCTGAGCATGGACCTAAGTTTCCCGTAAACCAGCCCAAACCCATTTCCATGGCCTCTTCTTGCTGCTCTGGGGAGAAAAGACCAAGCCCTTGTCCATAGACCCTGATTCCTCAGATCCTCCCACTCAGGGAATGTTTGATTCTAATGCCATCCAGACAGATCCCAAGATCGCATTGGCCATTCAGGCACATGGGGTGTGGGGAATTGAAAGCACTCTACTCCTGACTGATTATGGGTTCTTAGGCAGCTAGCTACCTCTCTGTGTTGGTGATGATGGTGTGAGGTTGAAATTCTGGTGCTGCCTTGTAAATCACACTGTGCCACATCCTGATGAATGGTCACCATCTCTCTCAATTGGTACCATTTAGTGGGCCCATGCCACTGGACAAGCTGCCATGTCAAGGTTTGGTGTCTTTGAACACATGTCATCCTGCCAAAAATTTGGTGAGGTGTTGGCTACTGTAACAATATTATAGAGGAGAAAACTGAAGCTCCCACAGGCCAAAACCCCTGCACTAAGTGGGAAAAGCAGGGTTTTAGTCCAGGTCATATACTCAGTAGGACTCTGTCCCCCAACATTACCACGGATGATCACTCCACTAAAGAAGGAACCCACAGCTCTCACCTTCACCGCACCCTATTCTCTACCTTCAGTGTCTCACTTACTCCCTGGGACTCCAGGCTGGCCTGTCTATGCCTCCTTCTTGGGTGAGTCCTCCAGGTGATGCTCAATAGGTTGATGTGATGAGAAAATATCTTTCTCCAAGAAAGTAGGCCTGGTTCCCATGAGCCAAAATTTGTGAGCACTTTATGGGTACTATGTCGTTTGAGGTTCAACTCCATTCGATAAATACTATTACCATCCCCATTTTGTACACAAGAAAATAGATTCAGCAAGGCAGGCAATTGGCCCAAGACCTCCCAGCCAGTAAGTGACGGAGCTATGGCTCGAACCCAGGTAGTTCCACCTCCAACTCTGAGTTCTAACCATGCTGGTATTCTGTTTCTGGGATGTGGGTCTCACCAATTAACATGCAGGCCTTCTTGCAGTCATCCAGCCTGAGGAAGTTGTTGGCGTTCCCTTGGCAGCCATGATAGATAAAGGTTCTACACTGATGTTTTTTAAAGTCATAATACCAACGCTGCAGTCTCATCCTGCAGTCTCCTCCTTTAAAGGGTAGCATGCAGGGTTCTGAGGTCAGGGTGTAAAAAGGGAAGAGCATAAAAGGTAGAACATAAAAGAGAAGAACATAAAAAGAAGGGATAGGATCCCCCCGACTGTCATAGTTGATGGTGTTATCATCCAAGTCAGAAAAAGCCACACTCAAAAACAGTAGGTTCTGGCCCTAGCTCCACGACCACTATTGTCCACTGAATTCTCCTAACATCACTTCTTTCTCGCAAAGGTGATTTTGAAGGGCATCTGAAGATACTTTGGAGTTGATCTTCTCCACTGCTTTGAGCTTTGAGAGGCCAGGACCTGTTCAGGAACTGTATCCAAAGTGCCTAACAAAGCACCTGGTACATAGGAAGGAAAAAATAGTCCCTGATGTCTGAAAACCCATCAGTAAGCTGTTGTGTTCCCCTGTTGACATAAAACATCTCATGGGACATCTGCATCAAATGAAGTCACTCTAAGATCATGACAACGTGAGACAGAAAGCAAGATATCTGTGAAATTCATAAAATACCAAACACTTCCCTGTTCCACCTAACGTGAGTGACTTGAGCTTCTCTGCCAGTTTCAGCTCCCTCGCTCTGCCTGCTCCCTCTGTGGATGAGATTCCCTGAGGAGCCAAGCCGTAGCTTTGCCCCCACTTCCTGACAGTACAGATTCTAAAGCCCTCCCCCAAATCATCCAAAGACCAAATCCTGTAATACATTCTAGCAGTTGCTTACTGAGATGTCACATGGTTATCCACAGTGGACATTCTCCCTCCCTGTAATCAGTAATGAACCCAACTTGTTCAGCTCCAGGTATGTTCCTGGTAGTCTTGGCCAAAGGACACCGACCATAAATACCAGTTGAATGAATGAATGGATGAACGAATGAATCTCTGTCAAATGTACACACTCTTATAAGATATGCATAGGAATACTTATGAGTTCCCAGAAACCTCCTTGAAAAGACCAAGAGTCTGAAAGGAACCCAGCACCTAAGTTAACTGAGATTTGATTTTGTCACAGGGCCAACCACAGTTTCTCAGCACACAGTGAGCACACCAGAGTATTAATTGTTTATGAAAGATCGAATGTTGGACCCAAGAAGGCAAACATCAGTATTGTCTAGTTGATGGCCACCATGCCTAGACTCATGACTTACACTTAAGGGTGAGAGTTAAATTGGATAGTGAGAAAAATGCAAACTTGGGACTCTTTGTCCTGCTATCAGAAGGAATTGTTCAGCCATTTCTGAATGGAGTCAGAAGTGGGGACCCTCAAAAGTCACCTCTGCCCCCAGCCTGAATGCCACTACCTTCATATGGATCCATGCACTTCTTCCCACAGGCAAAAGTGCAGCACTTCATGTAATCTGGGCAGTGGAAATCCGATTTGCATAAATCCGGCATCATGATGTCACAGAAGAGCCGCTCTCTGGGGCACTCTCCAGGCTTCACTGCAAGAAAGAATCGTCCAGATTCACATTCCAGGAGTTTAAGCTCTTCTCCTACCAGGGCAACGGTAAATGATGAAAATGTCCCAGTCCTATCCTGTACCTTCAATCCCCAGTTCTCATTCTGCTTACTTTTAGGATCCATGGCTGTCTCTCTCACCACATTTGGCCCATTTAGATGGAGGTGAATCCGGAATTTGTGCCCAGGTAGAACTGAAGGAAAAGCATCTTAGATCCCAAAGGCAGGTGGTTCAGTAAGGACAAAGGCCCTTGCTTTAAATTAACGAGCTCCCAATCTTCTTGAAACCTAATATTTTAAGGCTTAACGCCTCTGTCTCCAACATCTGAGGCAATCGAAGAAATTAGTAAAGAGTCATGGAAACATCATGGAAATAGGAGTCAGGAGTCCTGACTTTGGTCCCTTGACTTCTTGTGAACTCAAGACCAATCTGAGTTCAATGGCGGGAATTCTGACTTATTTCTAAGACAGGAAGAAATGGTGGAGTGGGAGGAGCATCATTGGCAGACTGATTGCAACACTAACTAGCTAAATAATCTTGGGACAGTCTCTTCCTTTGTCTGAGTCATCAATGTCCTCTCTGTAAAATGAGAATGGCTTTGTCATTTTTTAATGCAGAGTAATACTCCATTGTGTATAAATGCCACATTTTTTTTTATCCATTCGTCTATTGAAGGGCATCTAGGTTGGTTCCACAGTCTTGCTATTGTTAATTGTGCTGCTATGAACATCGATGTAGCAGTGTCCCTGTAGCATGCTCTTTTTAGGTCTTTAGGGAATAGACCAAGAAGGGGAATAGCTGGGTCAAATGGTGGTTCCATTCCCAGCTTTCCAAGAAATCTCCATACTGCTTTCCAAATTGGCTGCACCAATTTGCAGTCCCACCATCAATGCACAAGTGTACACTTTTCCCCACATCCTCACCAGCACTTGTTGTTGTTTGACTTCATAATGGCTGCCAATCTTACTGGAGTGAGATAGTATCTTAGGGTGGTTTTGATTTGCATTTCTCTGACTGCTAGAGATGGTGAGCATTTTGTCATGTACTTGTTGATTGACTGTATGTCCTCCTCTGAGAAGTGTCTGTTCAGGTCCTTGGCCCATTTGTTGATTGGGTTATTTGTTATCTTATTGTCTAATTTTTTGAGTTCTTTGTATACTCTGGATATTAGGGCTCTATCTGAAGTGTGAGAAATGGATGGCATTAGAGCAGATTATGCTAAGTGAAGCTAGCCAATCCCTAAAAAACAAATGCCAAATGTCTTCTTTGATATAAGGAGAGTAACTAAGAACAGAGTAGGGACGAAGAGCATGAGAAGAAGATTAACATTAAACAGGGATGAGAGGTGGGAGGGAAAGGGAGAGAGAAGGGAAATTGCATGGAAATGGAAGGAGACCCTCAGGGTTATACAAAATTACATACAAGAGGAAGTGAGGGGAAAGGGAAAAAAATACAAGGGGGAGAAATGAATTACAGTAGAGGGGGTAGAGAGAGAATAGGGGAGGGGAGGGGAGGGGAGGGGAGGGGGGATAGTAGAGGATAGGAAAGGCAGCAGAACACAACAGACACTAGTATGGCAATATGTAAATCAATGGATGTGTAACCGATGTGATTCTGCAATCTGTATACGGGGTAAAAATGGGAGTTCATAACCCACTTGAATCAAAGTGTGAAATATGATATATCAAGAACTATGTAATGTTTTGAACAACCAACAATAAAAATTTAAAAAAAAAGAAAAAAAAAAGAGAATGGCAATCCTTACTGTACAGGTCAGTTAGAATTAAATGGGATGATGTTCCCAATACACGGATCACAGAGCCTGGTAAGAGTTCTACAGATATGTGGTTGCTTACTCCCTTTTTAGGGATAAGTATGGATGCTGATTTAAGTGCTTGCAATAGACAGGTTTCCAAAGTTGCACCCGTAAGATTCCAGTCCTCTGGTTACTGAATCAAACACTGATGCAGGCACTGCCATGAAAGGATTCTGCATGTGTAGGTGAAGTTCAAAGTTAGTTGACCTTAAGAGACAGAGATTATCCAAGTGGGTCAGACCCAGTCAGTTGGGTCCTTTAAAAGAAGAAGGTTGGGAGTGAAGAGGTCACAGAGATTGAGACTGTGAGGAGGAGCCATCCTACTATTGCTAGCTCTGAACATAATGGAGGTCAAGTGCCAATAAATGAAGGTGGCCTTTAGAAGTTGACAACCAGTCAGGAAATCGGAGCTTCCATCCTAAAATGGCAAGAGCAGGGTTATGCTAACAATCAGTGCACTTAGGGAGAGGACCCTGAGTCCCCGCTGAGAACGGCAGCCCTGTCTGACACTTTGGTCTCAGCCTGACGAGAATCAGAGCAGAAAACCCCGGCGCACCAGGCCAGACTGATGACCTACAGTGGGCTCTGCAGCAACAGGCACTAATACAGTGCTAGAGATGGAGCATGTCTCTAGTGGAACCTAATCAGAGACATATGATCTTTTTAGACAGGACTGGGTCTTGTAATTATAGAAGTTTAGAATTCAAAGGACCATATTTAACTTTAATACCACCGTCCTGATTTCCTAGCTAAAAAAAAAAAAAAAATGAGGTCAAAAAGGATGCTACAGTGACTCAGTGACAGGCCCAGGATTCTCAACCCAGAACTCACCTCAGAAGCCCCACATCTTCCCCAAGGATGGGCCACTGAGACTTTTAGCATTCTTCAGCTAGTCTTACCCATCACATCTCTCTAAATGCACCCTCCAAGGATGGCTCAAAGCTAAGAAGAGTACATGGTTCCTGATCTGGAGTGTACATCAAAACTCTCTGTGTATCTTTAAGTAAATAAGGACTCTGGACTGAAATCGGAATCTCTAGAAAGTAAGGCCTACTGACCCTAATTTTTTTCCCTTTTTTAAAAAAGAATTATTTCATCTAATTTATCATATATGACAGCAGAATGCATTTCAATTCATATTACACACATAGAGCATGATTTTTCACGTCTCTAGCTGTACACAAAGTAGAGTCACACCATTCGTGTCTTCATACATGTGCTTGGGTAATGATGTCCATCTCATTCCACTGTCTTTCCTACCCCTCTGTGCCCTCCCTTCCCCTTCCTTCCCTTTGCCCTATCTAAAGTTCCTCTATTCCTCCCATGACACCCCCATCCCCATTATGGATCAGCATCCTCATATCAAAGAAAATATTTGGCATTTAGTTTTTTGGAATTGGCTTACTTCCCTTAGCATAATATTCTTCACTCCATCCATTTACCTGCAAATGTCATGATTTTATTCCCTTTTAATGCTGAGTAATATTCCATTGTGTATATGTACCACAGTGTCTTTATCCATTCATCTACTGAAGGGCATCTAGGTTGATTCCACAATTTAGCTATTTTTTAAAAGTTTTTTAAATTTGTTTTAATTAGTTACACATGACAGTAGGATGCATTTATGCACTTTGATATATCATACAAAGATGGGATATAATTTCTCATTTTTCTGAGTGTACATGTTGTAGAATCACATTGGTCATGCAGTCACATATGTACATACAGCAATAATGTCTGCTTCATTCTACTGTCTTTCCTATCCCCACATCCCCTCCCTTCCCCTCCCATCACTTCCCTCTACCTAATCTAAGGTAATGCTATTCTTCCCTAGTGCCCTCCCCCACCTTATTGTGAATTAGCATCCATATATTAGAGAAAACATTTATCGGCCTTTAGTTTTATGGGATTGGCTTATTTCGCTTAGCATGTTTTCTCCAACTCCAACCATTTACTGGCAAATGCCATAATTTCACTCTTGTTTAAAGCTGAGTAATATTCTATTGAGTATACATACCACATTTTCTTTATCCATTCATCTATTGAGGGGCACCTAGGTTGGTTCCACAGTTTAGCTATTGTGAATTGAACTGCTATATATACATTGATGTGGCTGCGTCCCTGTAGTATGCTGTTTTTAAGTCCTTTGGCTATAAACCGAGGAGTGGAACAGCCTCTGACCCCAATTTTTAGAAAGCCCCCTGGGTAATCCTAAGGCAAGTTGGTAGGAACCATGGGATAAGCTACCACTTGGGGACCATTGCTCAAGATTTGGGCACAGAAAGAGTTTGGCAAATTAAATATGGAGACCTCAAAAGGGTAAAGAGAAGTAGAAAGGGAAACTTTGGGATTAGGAGGTAAAGCCAATCATCTCACCAGAGTTGATTCTCTGGCTTCCAGCAGCCATTTAAACCTTTGCTTGGGTTTTGGACATTGGGCTCCTCTCCTGATTATCAGCTTGAGTTCTTTACATAGAATAGAACCCCCTCCCTCCCTGGCCAGCTCTTCTGAGCCACTTACTGCCCCGACACACGACTAAATCAGTCAGGGTCACTCCAGGAGAACTGGGCTGGCACGAAATAATCACACAAAGACAGAGAAATACCTTTTTCTTTGGGTTCTGGGACGGGGGCCCCTCTGACCCAGCTCCCACAAAGGAGGCAAGGCGGGCAATAAAGAGACATGCCTTGAACCTGGGTTTCATTGGGGAGGCTGTTCGAAAGAACATTCATCCAAAAAAAAAAAAGGGGCCAAATGTGTAGGATTACCAAGGAACAAGGGGCAGCCCCCTCCAACTGGGTAACGTCCAATCCCAGAGCTACACCTCGCTATCTGAGCGGAGGCAAGTCCCCTTGTCCTGCAGGGCGCAATGCCAGTCCAGTACCTCTTTATTCAGGACTTCGCGGTGTGTGCCTAGCTCCTGCTCAGGGTGGTCCCCAACAACTTACCCTGGGTGCATATCCTCCCCCATCACCCCAGCATCCTGTCCATCATGGCTTTTGGCCAATTTTGTCTCCAGTCTCCTTAAAATCGACCTTTTCTCCTTCTTTACCGCACTCCCTTAACTCAACCCCTGACTTCACTCTGTCTTCCCCAAGACTGCAGCCATGTCCTCACTGATCCTCTCCTCTCAGGCTCATGCACAGTGACTCACAAATTTAAAAAAAAAAACCTGGAAGACTTATTTTGGGAAAAGTTAGGGAAATAATTTGGGGAGAACAGGCAGGGGAGGATCTGGAGAGCTTAGAGTGATGGCTCAGAATCCACAGTAGGGATGACCTCAGCCGACACTAGCTTTGCACCCAACCTCAGCCTCCAAGAATGCCTCTCACAGGAAAATGGCGGCAGCTGTTCTGAACTCACCTTTGATCTTGTTGGACTGCGATGCAGAAGTCTGCTCCAAAGAGAGAGGGAGAAGAAGCAGGAGAGCTACATTCCTCCAAGAGAAGGTGGAGCTGTGGAGAGAAAGACAGATGTGTGAGAGAAGAGGGATCCGAGTTAGGCATGATCCAGAGGAGGCACAAAGTGTGCAGAGGAGCCTTCCAGGGGATCCCCCAGAATCCCTTAGTTCTCACATAAGAAAAAGGAGCCCGTTGGGACGGGGGCAGGCCTAGACATTCCATTCCAGAACTCTCCCCGGGTGTCTCATACTCTGCCACGGTGCTGCGCCTTGTCCTACCCAGACACCTGTCCACTCTGTTTCTCCTGGGTGAAAGGCCACACCTGAGTGATTAAAGGATTTTTTTGGAACAGTTGTGGCGTTGATTTGCACACAGTCATTCCTTGGGCAACCCCTGACACTGGTGAGCACCTTTTCTTCTCTACTGATGACAGAAATAAGCAAGAGATTTTCTGGAAGGTCTGAGCAGACCCTGCTGGGTCTTGGATCTCAGAAGTAAAAATGATCCCAGATGGCCATAAGTTAACAAAAAGATTCCTCTTATTCCTTCTGGGGCATTCCAAGGCTTAGCTCCTATGATACTCCTAGACAACCTGGTAAGTGGATAATCTTCTCCTGCTCACTCAAACCCCCATTTTCCATATGTCTTTTCAAGATTTATGTGTGTTTTTTTATTTTAAGATGTGAAGAACTAACAGCATCTTACTGTAGTAACTCTTGGAGAGAACACATTTCAAAATCAGAGAGAGAGAGAGAGAGAGAGAGAGAGAGAGAGAGAGAGAGTGATCTTTATGCCATTTATTCTGTGTGCCTCATTTATACATGGAATCTGATCTTGAGGAAGCTATGCAGAGATCTTCCAGCATCCTGAAGCCATATTATGTAGTGACTAAAGTGAAGACATGTCACCGTATCCACCTTTGCTCCCTCCTCCCCAGAATTCTCTTCCCCCAATTCTACAACAGTTCCCGGACTCTTCATTAGTGGTGATCACAACCCCAAACCAGTGATCTTGGCTTTGGTCACTTTAACTACAGCATATCTTGGATCCTTAGTTTCCTCATATGGAAAATGAAAATAATACAACTAACCTGGAAACTTGGCTTTTACTGTGGGAATTAAGATGAGAAAGGATGAAAATTTAACTCAGCAATATAGGATGGTAGAAAAGTTGATGCCTGCACTTGGACCTGAGTTCACGTCCCAGATCCAGCCACTCCCACCCGTGGGGTCTGGCCTGTCACTAAGCCTCAGCTTTTCATAAGGGAAATAATAATAACAAAAGCTGCCTCTTAGACATGAGCATCAATTGAACTATTGTAGCAAATCAGGGTAACTGGCGTATGGTCAGTGCTTAATATATGTTCAACAGGAAACAAATAACAATGAAGTAGTGATTGGCCCAATAGTACCCACGGCTCTTTCAGCTTTTGAGTTCCCTAGTCAGAAACCGTGCCATCTCTTCAGTCCCCTGAGAGATCAGACAAGAGGCCCTGTGTCTCTTAAGTTCTCAAGATCAAGTCATACTTTTGGTTTGAAATTTAACCTAGATAACACTATTCACTGAGTCTTGAGAATTACCGCTCAGATGAGCCCACAGTCTATTAGTAGAAGCAGGGCTCCTGGGGGGACATGGAGGGGGACACAGATGAACAGGACTTCCAAACAATTGAGGGTATCCGGTTATAATTTTTAGTGTGTGTGTGTGTGTGTGAATGTTTATTCCACATATAGAGCACAATTTTTCATATCTCTGGTTATATACAAAGTAGAGTCACACCGTTTGTGTCTTCTTCATACATGCACTTTGGATAATAATGTCCATCTCATTCCACCATCATTTCTAACCCCATGCCCCCTCCCTTCCCCTCCCACCCCTCTGCCCTATCTAGAGTTCATCTAATCCTCCCATGCTCCCCTCCCTACCCTACTATGAATCAGCCTCCTTGTATCAGAGAAAAACATTCGGCCTTTGATTTTTTGGGGATTGGCTACCTTCATTTAGCATTATATTCTCCAACTTCATACATTTACCTGCAAATGCCATGATTTTATTCTCTTTGAATCCTAAGTAATATTCCATTATGTATCTATATCACAGTTTCTTTATCCATTCATCCACTGAAGGGCATCTAAGTTGGTTCCACAGTTCAGCTATTGTGAATTGTGCTGCAATAAACGTTGATGTGGCTGTGTCTCTGTTGTACTGGGTCTTTTGTGGCAACTTAAAAAATTTAGGATTGTTTTGTCTATTTCTGAGAAAAGTGTCCTTGGAACTTTGATAAAGACTGAATAATAATTTGCTAACAATTTGGATAACCTAAAAGAAATAGGTAAATTTCTAGAAACACATCAAGACTGAATCATGAAGAAATAGAAAATCTGAATAGTCCTACAATGAATAAGGAGATTAAACCAGTAAGATCAAGTCAAAGGAAATCCCAGAACCCATTAAGGGAAATTCCAGAACCCAAGGGCTCAAAAGCTGAATTCCACTAAACACAGCAAAGGAGAACCGAGGACCAATCCTTCTCAAACTCTTCCAAAGAAGTTGACATGGCAGGAGTATTTTCAAACTCATTTTATGATGCCAGCATCACCTTGATACCAAAGCAAGGAGAAGACACTTGAAGAAAATAAAAAGCATAGTCCAATGCGCCTGATGAACATGGATACAGAAATCCTCAACAAAATATTAGGAAAGCAAATTCAGTGACACATTGAAAGAATTATCCACTGTTATTGTGAAAAAAATATCAAAAATAACAAATTCTGGTAAGGATATAGAAAAAGGAGAGCTTTTACACACTGTTGGTGGGAATGTAAATCAGTGCAGCCATTGTGGAAATAACATGGAGATTCTTCAGAAAACAAATAGAACCACCAGGTGACCCAGCAGTGCCACTGTGGGGTGTACGTCCACAGGAAATGAAGTCATTACATCAAAAAGAGACCTGCACACCCACGTTATGGCCACACTATTCTCAATAGCCAAGTTTTAGAATCAACCAAGATATTCTTTGATAGGTGAATGGATAAAAATACTGTCATGTATAACTAATTAAAACAAAAATATGTTATATATGCACAACCCAATATTATTCAGCCATACAAAGATGAATCATGTGACTTGTGACAACATGGATAGAACTGGAGGATGGTATGTTAAGTGAAAGGACCTAACTGCAGAAAGACAAATACCACATGTTCTCATTCATTTGTAGAAGCTAAAAAAGTTGATCAAGTGGGTGAGGTGGTACATGCCTATAATCTCAACCACTCAGGAGGCTGAGGCAAGAGGATCACAAGTTTGAGGCCAGGCTTCACAACTTGGTGAAATCTCATCTCAAAATAAAAAAAAATAAGAAGTGCTGAGGATGTAGCTCAGTGGTAGAGCATCCTTGGATTCAATCCCCAGCACAATCAATCAATCAATCAATCAGTAAAATAAAGTTGATCTCATTAAAGTTGAATGTAGACTAGATGTCACTAGAGTTAAGGAAGAGTATGGGGAGAGAAGATGGAGGGAGAGTGAATAATGGGATCAAAATACAGTTAGTAGCTTTAATGTTCTAGAGCACAGTAGGGCAACTAATAACTACAATTAATTAAACATTTGAAGATAACCAGAAAGGAAGACCTTGAAGTTTCTCAACACATAGAAATGATATTAGAGGATATAATTACTCAACCTGATTTGATCATTATACATTGTATACATATATCAAATTATAATATTATAACCATAAATAAGTACAAATATCATGTTAGTTATAAAATAAAAATTAATTTAAAAATGTATCATTCACTACAAAAAACAATGAATGTAATACACCATATTAATAGGATGCAGGGGAAAACCATGTGATAATCTCAGTGGATGTAGAAAAAGCATTTGATAAAATTCAGCATCTTTTTATGATCTCAATAGGTTAGTTAGAGAAGGAATGTACCTTAACCCAGTAGTCTACATAGCACAATGTCACAGCTAGGATCACACTCGTCAGTGAACAGCTGGAAGCTTTTCTGTTAAGATTAGAAATAAGACAAAAATGCCTACTCTCACCTTTTTAAAAACATGCTATAGGAAGTGCTAGCCATGGAAATTAGTAGAAATAAATAAATAAATAAATATTATCCAAATAACAAAGGAAGAACTGAAATAATGTGTGTGCTGATAACATGATTCTTCTATAGAAAACCCTAAAGATTCTACCAAAAAAAGCTATTAGAACTCATAGGGGCTGGGGTTGTGGCTCAGCGGTAGAGCACTCACCTAGCATGTGCGAGGCTCCGGGTTTGATCCTCAGCACCACATAAAAATAAATAAATAAAATAAAGGTATTGTGTCCAATTACACCTAAAAAAGAAATATCTTTTAAAAAAAGAACTCATAGATGAATTCAGTAAAGTTACAGGATACAAAATCAACATGCAAAGATCAGCAGTGTTTCTATACATTAACAATAAGCTATCTGAAAAAGAAATTCATAATCTCATTTACAGTGCCACCAAAACATATTGATGAGTAACTTTAAATAAAACAGTGAAAGATCTGAGCACTGAAAACTATAAAACATTGACGTAAGACACTGAAGAACAGGAGTGAATGGAAAGATAGCCAGAGTTCATGAGTTGAACCATTAGACATTGTTAAAAATCCATACCATCCAGAACCTACCTTTTGGCCCAGACTTTCCAGATGGCAGAGGTTTCTCCTTGTAGTAAACTGAGAAGCATTTTGCACTCAAAAGGAGCTAGGAGAGCAGTGTGAATTTCCAGGTTACGGCTTTTAGAAATTATGGGCAGAAATTACGGGTGAGGCCCCACTAAGACTCTGCTAAATTCTGCTACCACTGACTGCTCCCCCACTTGGAGAACACCCAATCCCAGGCCCTGTTTTCATGGTTGAGAGCTTGTTCACAGCCTCTTCGTCCCAGTGGCATAGTGTGATCTGCTGCATGGCCAGCCAACCAGGAATGTGCTTTGAGCCTGAACAGAAGACCTCGAGAAGGACAACTAGCTCCATAGGTCTGGCTGATAAATCTTTCCCTAAACCCAGCCAGAGCATGTGGTAAGCTTCTCTAAAGAAATTTACCTTCTAAATAACTGCTGCACACCTATCTACATTCCAATAGGTAGTCTCTAAATGCTGAGTTTGGAGCACTCCCTGTACAGCTCTATAATGTGTTGCTAAAATATTTTAAATCTCTCTAATTTTTTGTCCTTTTGACTTATCCATAATTGAGAATGTTGAGGGCTCTCAACATGACCATGGATTTCTTGAATTATGCCTATAATTGCTTCAGTGCTTACCATATATCCTGATTCTATTGATTTAGGTAAATATAAATGCATTCCCAGTGAATTAAATCTTTCATTATTATCTAGAGATCCCCCATCTCTCTCTCTCAAATTGATCTTTATCAGTTTTTTATTGCCTGATATTAATCTAACTATACTTTTCTTTTTATTCGCATTTGCTTAGGCTTTCTTCCCATCTTTTTGCATTCAGCCATCTCAAGTACATATCTTTTGTCTTTTAAATAGCGTCAATCTACATTTTAAAAAAATGCTGTCTGGCAATTTTTGCCTATTAATTGACATTTATTATTGGTATTTATGACATATGTGGATTCATTTCTACAATCTTGAGTTTTCTATGGTCTGTTCTTCTTACTCTCGAATTCTGTACTTGCAAATTCACCTACTTGCTAAAATTTGTCACTCAGAGTCACCCAACACGCACATTCCCACCTGAAGGTGAATCCTTGGTTCAATTCAAACTCTAAACCAGGGGCCCTTTTACAGCCTAGTTAGTGCTGCACTTTTCACATTTTTGTGTTTTTTATTGGTGATTTCACTGTTCAAAATGGCCCCCAAGGGTGGTGCAGAAGTGCTAACTTGTGTTTCTAAGAGCAAGATGACTGTGATGTGCTTTACCAAGAAAACACATGTGTTAGATGAGCTTCATTCAGCCACAAGTGATAGTACTGCTGGTCACGATTCAATGTTTATAAAACAACATTTTAAAAACACAGTTCTTTAAATAGAAGCATGTGCCAAGCATGGTGGCACACACCTGTGATCCCCTGGGGCCAGGGAGGCTGAGGCAGGAGAATCACAGGTTCTGGACCAACCTCAGTAATTTTGCAGGACCCTGTCTCAAAATAAAGAATAGAAAGGGCTGGGGGTGGGTAGCTCAGTGGAAGACTGCCCCAAACCCTGGTACCATAAAACGAAGCAACCAAACAGAAGCACACATAGAACAAGGTTGTGCATCAACCAGTTTATGAAAAGGTGACTGGAGGCTTAAAGGAGGCTAACCCTGGTATTTTCTCCCAGGAGCAATGGCTCAGTATTTGCTGATTTGGTGACTTTAGAGAACATAACTACCAGAAATAATGAGCATCAACTGCTCTTTTATTAGCTTTGCTTTTGTTTGGGGTACAAGTAGCTTTAAGCTCTCCAAGACTTGCCACAATATTTTTCTTGTTCAAGAAATCTCGGTTCCCGTCGTCCACCTCTCTGTTCCAGGAGGGGGCTGAAGGAGCAGCTCCCGCCTGGCTCCCTCACATGGCAGAGGGCAAGCAACAGTGGAGCTGGCAGAGACCCACCTGGCTTACATCAAGAGATTCTGGAAATCACAAGGCAACGGGCAGGGACCTAATCTCCTTAAAGGAAGGATGGAATGAGCAACTATGATTAATGATATATCCCATCATTATCGCTCCCTTTTGAATTAAAAAATGATGTTTATGTATATGTGTGTGTGTATATACCATATATATATATATATATTTTTTTTTTTCCTGAGAAAATATAAAACCACCCTGTTTCAGACGACTGAACATTGGGACACTTGCCCTGCAGATGCCCAACACACCTTACCTGGGCTCCGACAGCCACGTTGGGTTGCTCCTACACATTGGTACCTCTTCAATCTGCTCCGTCTCAGGCAGACCGATTCTTGGGGAACCTCTCCTCATTGGCTGTGACTTCTCATGGCAGGCCACTCTAACCTCTGGATGTCCTCCTCAATCTCCTTGGACTCTGACTCTTTATGTCTGTCGGCCTCAGGAATGGACACCCCTTGTCACCCTGCTCAAGTTTTTTTTTTTTTTTAACTGTGTACAGGGTCTTGACCTCTCACATGGACTTCCTCCTTCACAACCAAGCCCACAGCCAAGCCTCTGTCCGTGGGAACAACTTCCTGAGGTGGCTCCAGGGCTTGGATTCCTCCCTGGGCTGTTTCCCTGCACGAGCACCTTCCCCAGCCCACTGAGGTGGATGCCTTTCTTACCAAACTGTGCTGCTCCCCACCCCTCCACTGGGCAGTCTCCTACCTAACTCAGGTTCCAGCAGCCTTCTACAGAGATGCCCTTCTCCTGTCATGGCTCTGACGCCCACACGGGGGCACCATGGCTTCTTTCCCCTTGGGGCAGATGCCTACCTTGATCTGTCCCATCTGATGGCTTCCGGACTGACTAGTTCCATTTGTGCAAATGAAAGAAAACAGGAAAAGATGCTTTTTCTTTTTGCAAAAGTATTATGAAAAAGATATAAAAATAAAATATGCATTAAACATTAGTGTTTGATCCAACAAACTACTGTGAAGTGACCACTCATTAACTGAGGTCAAGTAAAACAAGATCTGGAACATTAGAAGTCCCTGGCTTGTTCCTTCCCAGTCACAACCCTTCCCATCCTCCCAAGGAAGCTGATGATAACAAAGTCTTGCTCTTCTTTTCTATATTTTTAGAATTGAAGTATGTATTTTTAAAATGTTCCTTTTTTAACGTCATATGCTTGTGTTTTATATAATAGGAGCCATTTGGAAAGTGTTCTTCTGGGCATAGCTTTTTGTGTTCAATGTTATGAGTTCCATCCACACTGATCCATGTAGCTGTAAGTCATTGATTTTTGTTGTTGTATCATCTGCTCTATGACTCTATGCAGTCTATCTATTTGACTGTCTGGATTGTTTCCAATTTGCAACTATTAAGAATAAGATGCAGAATTGATTCTGCAATCTGTATATGGGCTAAAAATGGGAGTTCATAACCCACTTGAAGCAAAGTGTGAAAGATGATATATCAAGAACTATGTAATGTTTTGAACAACCAACAATAAAAAATAAAAAATAAAAATAAAAAAAAAGAATAAGATGCTGTAGGGCTGGGGTTGGGGCTCAGCAGTAGAGAGCTCGCCTAGCGCATGCGAGGCCCTGGGTTTGATCCTCAGCACCACATAAGAATAAATAAATAAATAAAGCAAAGGTATTGTCCAACTACAAATAAAAAAATTAAAATATTTTAAAAAGATGCTATGAATATTTTGCTTGTGCTCGCAGGGGTACAGGGACAGGGATTCCCGTAGGTTATGTACCTGGGATTGGAGTAGCTGGGTCACAGGGTGTGTGTCTCTTCAACTTCTTGAGCTGATGGCAAACTGTTTCCCAAAGAGTTTGAACCAATTCAGTACACTTTCTTGCACCTTTGACTTTTTTCTGGAATGATTTTTTCTTCTCCCTAAAGGAATTTCTTTAGAAGTCCCTTTGGTGAGGACTTGTGGGTGGTTAGCACTCCCATTTTTTGCTGTCTGAAATAACTTTTGTTTGTTCCTATTCTTAAAGAGAGAGAGAGAGAGAGAGAGAGAGAGAGGGCTTCACTCTGTATTCTGAGCCAAGTTAGCAGTTGTTTTCTAAGAGCCCAATATTCTGCAGTCTTCAGGCTTCCACTGCTGTTTTCTTGAGCAATCCTTTGTTAGTCAAATAGTTTCTTTGTTTTTGCTTCACTGCAGTTACAGGTTTGGTTTCTAGGTATTCTATCTGGCACTTTCTCAAACATTTTGGTCATTTTTATGTCCTCTTTCACTCTAGCTATGCCTTAATGTTCTTTTTAGGTTTCTTTCTGTTCATTCTAGTGATATTGATCATCTTGATACATAAAATATTTTTATAATTGACAAAAATTTATATATATGAATTTATATTTAGTGATTATACAACGTATACATGTATCAAAGTATTATATTGTGCACAGTATATACGTAATATTTTGGCACATGCATACATTGTGAAATCACAAAATCAAGGTAATTGCCATATCCATCGCCCCACATACTTATTTTTTGTGTTGGGAACACTTAAAATCTATTCTCAGCACATTTGAAGTATTTCTATTTACTGACTGTTTGCATTCTCTGAGAACTGCTTGTGCAGATCTTTTCGATTGAAATGTTTGTCATTTTCTCTTCAATTTGTATATTAGGGAAAATGACTTTTGGTTTGTCATATGTATTGCAAATATTTCCCTCAGTCTTCCCTTTTTGTTGAATTTAACATTTTTTATTTGTTATTTTTAGTTATACATGGTGGTGGAGTGTGTTTTGACATATTATACACACATGGAGTACAACTTCCATTCTTCTGGTTGTATGTGATGTGGAGTTGCGTTGGTCTTGTGTTCACATATGAACATAGGATAGTAATGTCCGATCCTTTCTACCATCTTTCCTATTCCTATTTTTCCTTCTTCCCTCCATTCCCCTTTGTCCAATCCAAAGTCCTTCTGTTCTTTCCCACCCCACCTCCTTATTGTGTGTTAGCATCTGCGTATTAGAGAAGACATTTGGCCTTGGTTTTTTGGCATTGGTTCTGTGAGGAGAGGGATAACTGGGTCAGAGGGTGGTTCCATTCCAAGTGTTCTGAGGAATCTCTATACTGCGCCCCAGAGGGGTTGCACAAATTTGCAGTCCCACCAACGATGTATGAGTGAGCATTTTCCCCACATCCTCATTAACATTTATTGTTACTTTTATTCTTGATAATTTCCATTCTGTCTGGAGTGAGATGAAATCTCAGTGTAGTTTTAATTTGCATTTCTCTAACTGCTAGAGATGTGGAACATTTTTTTTCATAAATTTGTTGACCAGTCTTATTTCTTCTGTTCAGTGCCTTTGCCCATTTTTTGATTGGGACATTTTTTTTCGTGTTT